GAGTTGGAGGTCTCACTCTGTCACCCATACTGGAGTGCAGTGGCCGCTCCTGGCCACTGCAGCCTTGACTGCTGGGCTTCCACGATCATTCCACCTCAACATTCCAAGTAGCCGGAATTACAGGCATGCACTGCCATGCCCGGCTGATTTTTTGATTTATTGTAGAGATGAGGTCTCACTGCCCAGGTGGGTCTCGAACCCGCAGGCTCAGGCAATCCACTCACCTCAGCCTCCCAAAGGCGCAGGCTTACAGGCTGAGCCACCGACCCGGCTCAGCTTAATCTTTTTAAAACATCCTTACAGTTTAGGCTGGGTGCAGTGGCTCATGCCTGGAATCCCAACATTTCGGGAGGCTAAGGTGGGAGGATTACTTGAGATAAGGAGTTCAAGACCAGTCTGAATAACATAGACCTCATTTCTACAAAAATTAAAACAAAATTAGCCAGATGTGGTGGTCTATACCTGTAGTCCCAGGAACTTGGGCGTCTGAGGTAGAAGGATCGCCTGGGCCCAGGAAGTTGAGGCTGTGGTGAGCCATGATCTTGCCACTGCACTCCAGCCTGGGCAACAGAATAAGATCCTAACTCAACAAACAAACAAAAGCAAAACAAAACAACAACAAAAAACTTGCAGTTTTTTATATAAAAGCATGACATGCCCACTGTAGACCCACTGTAGATGCGGCCACTCACCATAAGTGGGATTGATCCCCATTCAAATTTAGTTTGGTGTTGAATTGATGATGCCACAAACTCATCAAGAGGGTGGAAAAAGTTTCTTGGGAGAGCAGGGTGGGCTCTGAAGCTGGTCCGAAAATGACTGCAGCAAGGGGGCTAAGAAGACGGGCTCAGCTTTCACTGTGAGCAGTGAGTGGAGATGGTGCGAGGGTCCGTGCATGAGAGCTGGGCTTGGGTCGTTTGACCTTTCACTGGCACCATGGACAGAGCATGGGTGCTCTTTTCAGTGTGCCCAGATGTGCATCAGAAAGAGAAGGGGAGTGGGTGGGTGGGGCTCAAGAACTGTCAGCAGTCAGACTTAGAAAATAGATTCTTTGGGTGTGATGGCTCATGCCTGTATTCCCAACACTGAGGCAGGAGGATCTCTTGAGGTCAGTAGTTTGAGACCAGCCTGGGCAACATAGCAAGACCTCATTTCTACAAAAAGTAAAAAAAAAAAAAAAAAAAAAATTAGCTGAGCACAGTGGCACACATCTGTAGTCCCAGCTACTCAGGAGGCTGAGGTCAGAGGATCATTTGAGCCCCGGTGTTGGAGACTGCAGTGAGCTATGATCGTACTCCAGCTGGGATTAAAGAGCAAGGCCCTGGCTCTAACACAAAACAAAACAACCAATAGTCATACGTGTATAAAATATAGAAAGGGATGAAGAAGAAAATTTAAAAATCAACAAAAATGCCACTGTTGTTTATTAACTCCCATGACTACTTGGATTGTAGTCTTTTTTTCTCTGCATCTAATTTTTTTTTTGAGTTGGAGTCTCACTCTGTCACCCAGGCTAGAGTACAGTGGCATGCTCACTGCCACCGCAGCCTCGACCTGCTGACTCAGGCGATCCTTCCGCCTCAGCCTTCCAAGTAGCTGGAACTACAGACACGTGCCACCATGCCTGGATAATTTTTTGATTTATTGTAGAGACGAGGATTCACCAAATTGCCCAGGCTGGTCTCAAATCTCTGGACTCAGGCAATCCTCTTGCCTTGGCCTCCCAAGGTGCTGGGATTACAGGCTTGAGCCACTGTGCCTGGCCAGCATCTAATTTTTAATAACAAAAATTGGAAATACACTGCACATAATTCTTTTATACTCCTTGTTTATTTTTTATTTAGCCTTATCTAAGTTTTACTTCATTGGTATAAATATGTTTTGATACTATTTTTAGCAAACATATAATATTCCTTAGAGTGTATGCACACTAATTTGCTTAACTATTCAACTTATTTACTTAGTGCATAGTAATAGTAAATAAAGCTGCAGTAGGCACTTTTACTTGTGTTTTTAAGGTAATTACTTTAGCATAGATTCTTGTTTTTTCTTTTCTTTTTGAGTTGAAGTCTCCCTTTGTTGTTAAGTCTGGAGTGCAGTGGCACGATCATGGCTTACCACGTCCTCGACCTCCTGGGCTCAGGTGATTGTCTGCCTCAGCCTCCTGAGTAGCTGGGACTACAAGTGTGTGCCACCACACCCAGCTAATTATTTGAATTTTTTTTTTTTTTTTTTTGAGTTGGAGTCTCACTGTTACCCAGACTGGAGTGCAATGGCCGCTCCCGGCCACCGCAGCCTCCACCTGCTGGGCTCCGGCGATCCTGCCGCCTCAGCCTTCCAAGTAGCTGGAACTACAGGCGCGTGCTACTGCGCCCGGCTAATTTTTTGATTTATTGTAGAGATGAGGTCTCACCAAGTTGCCCAGGTGGGTCTCAAACCCGCAGGCTCAGGCAATCCACTCACCTAGTCCTCCGAAAGTGCTGGGATTACAGGCTGAGCCACCGAGCCCGGCCTGAATTCTCTTTTGTTTGTTTGTAGTGATGAGGTCTTGCTATGTTCCCCAGGCTGGTCTCAAACTCCTGGGCTCAAGCAGTCCTTCTGCCTTGGCCTTCCACATGCTGAGATTACAAGTGTGAGCCACCATGCCTGGCCTGCTTTAGCACAGATTCTTAGAGATAGATTTTTCTGGACCAGAGGTTGGGAACTTTTTGAAGCCTTGGTATTTATTGCTACATTACTTTTTGGAACTTAGTGGTATATGAAAAAAATAAGTTCTTAATTATGGGACAACATGATATTGGAGTCTTCTGTCTGCTCTAAAGTTCTCTAATGTTGAGATTGCATCACAATTAAAAGGGAAAAGTGGTAGAGGAGATAGCCTAAATTTACACATAATCTTCAAGCTTTCTTCCAGACAAGCATTTCAGTCAGTGCTGCCATAAACCAGCTCATCAGAGCAGTCAAGCAATGGGCAAATGAATTGATATTAATTTTTCAACTTTCCACCTACCCTGAACTTGTGTGCTTTCTTGTAGAACCTCTCTTGAGTGGTGAAATAATGAAATATGAGCAGGGGCAAGAGAAAAAAAAGTTTACCCCTGAATATTTGGTTGAGGAGTGGGTTTCCTTGATTGAAATGAAAGAAATATAGGTGGAATATGGTTGTTGGGGCAGTGAGTGACTAGCAAGGAGCCTCTCACACTCCAGGTGGGTTTGAGTCATTTGCGAATTGCAACCAGGGCCCAGGACAGCCTTGGGTCAGGGAGATAGACACGGCCAAGTGTGAAGTTCCTAGTAGCCTCTGAATGTATCCTTGTCAGATGGGAATGATAGAGACTATTTTAATGGTGGTTTTGGCTGGATTAAAAATAAGGACAGTATAATAAGAAACCTGGAGATGTGAGAAGGCTGGCAATTCAGATATGAGATCATCAGATGTTCATCATTAGGGTTCAGGTGAAGAGGGCATTTTCACTAATTGTGTCAGGAAGACAGAGATAAGATTGCCTGATAAGGAATCGAATTACTGGGTAGAGGTCAGGTATAAAAACAAGTATGGGAAGGGAGTTATTTGACTGTAGATGGTCATGAAGGCCAGAGGATTGTTCCCCAAGACTGTTGCGTGGGAAGGCAAGGTGTCCCAGGACCGGTCCAGGTGGCCAGCCTATCCCATGCTGAATAAAGGATGCCCCAGGAATGGTCCAGGTGACCAACCTTTCTCATGTTGAGTGAAGGATGCCTCATGACTTGTCCAAGTGGCCAACCTGTCCCATGCTGAATGAGGCAGTACTCTCGGTGTGTGTCTGGGGTGGGGGCTGCTGTTCTCTCTGTTTAGGGATCATCCTCGTCTAGTCCCTTTTCAGTCTTCACCCTAGAAAAGCACACATTTAAAGTGCATAGTGGTCAAACAGATGTTCACTTTGAGTTATTCATTAAACTATACAGCCACTTTTTGTGTATCTTTCTCTACATACCGGAATTGAAAAGTGATGAAACAAAAAAGCCAGTGGACTGGATGTGATGGCTCCAGCACTTGGCATGAGCCTAGGAGTTTAAGACTAGCCTAGCCAGGGCAAGATAGTGAGACCTTGTCTCAACAAAAAATTTTTAAAAAATTAGTTGGATGTGGTGGCATGTGCCTATAGTCCCAACTACTTGGAAGGCTGAGGTGGGAGGATTGCATGGGCCCAGGAGGTTGAGACCGCAGTGAGCCCTGATCATGTCACTGTACTCCAGCTTGGGTGACAGAGTGAGGCCCTGACTCAAAGGAAAAAAAATGCCAGTGGAGCCCTGTCCCCTGCTTCACGTGTGGCCTCAGTCTGCTGATACGCATGCTGCTCGTCTTTTTGCCCATATACACAGCATACCTGCCGGGCTTTCCATCTGAATGCCAGCCTTCTGTTTCCCAGGATTCTGCACAGACTTGGAGAGCTAGGTGACCTTAGGCACGAAGGTGGCCTTATCGTCATCAGCTTCCTCTGCTTGTCTCATTCCTTCCAGTGGTTGTGGAGTCGGACTTTGTGAAGTACGAGGGCAAGTTCGCCAACCACGTAAGCGGGACCATCGAGACGGCCCTGGGCAAGATCAAGCTGCATGCCGGAGGCAGCGGCCTCGTTGAGAGCCAGTCCTCCTTCGGAACCCTGAGGAAGCAGGAGGTGGACCTGCAGCAGCTACTCACAGACTCCACTGAGAGGTGAGGGGAGTTTCTGACAGGCATTTTGGAATTTGACATGTCTCACATTTAAAGGTCGTTCAGCTGGACCCTTGATAAGAGGGTGACAGATGCGATCGTTGCTGATTAATGAATGTGTATCGTGTATTGAATGCCCATTGCACTGAAACTTCACGAGGCACACAGGCTTCGGTCTGGAATGGTTGGACTGTTCTTAGCCTGAGGGGGTAGGCCTGGGAAGTGCTTTAAAAAATGCTCAGGCAAATGTGCCCTTCCCTCAGTCATGTGTTTTGTAAAATGCCAGCGGTAAAAAAGCTCCATCCTGCATTTCTGAATATTAATATCAGAACAAGGGAAAAGTGCACAACCCCCGTGGCTCTTTATGGTTTTCTGATGAGAAAAACAAGGAAACAGATGAGAGACTTCAGGGGAAGAGCAGTTTTTTGACTTTGAAGTGGTGAAGAAAAGCCCACATTTATTCATTGTTTGGCTCCCAGTACATCCATTTTACCCCAGCGTAGCTCCGCATTATCGTTACCTTATATTTCCAATAAATAATTTTCTTACAGGCATGCCATGCACCATGTACTGTTCTATGTGCTAGGGATGCTGCAGGGAACAAAATGCCCTAATTGCTGCCCTGTATCCCAGTGGGGAGAGACACAGAACTTACAACTAAAGTAAAATGTGTGGGAGATTGACGGGGGTGGAGGGGGTGGGGAACAGGATGTGCTAGGCATTTAGGAAGCAGCACCAGATAAGGCATTATGGAGACGATGGCGTTAGAGCAAAAACTCGCAGGAGTGGAGGCAGGCGCTGGGATGTCCTGGGCAGTGGCCAGTGTGGCAACACCGAAGGGAGGACCGGCGGGGAGTGGGTCAGAGGGGTGGAACGGGGTGGGGAGCCAAGTCCTGCAGGACCTCAAAGGCCCTTGGAAAGACTCACTCTCTTGATGTAGATGGGAAGCTCCTGAAGGATTCTGAGCAGGAAAGCGACATGATCTGATATCTTTTTATTTTTATGTATAATAATAATAATGGTAATTATTATTATTAGTTGAATCAGAGTCTCACTCTGTTACCCGGGCTGGAGTACAGTGGCATGATCACAGCTCACTGCAGCCTCAGCCTGCTGGGCTCAGGCAATTCTTCCACCTCAGCCTCCCCAGTAGCTGGGACTACAGGCATGTGCCACCATGCCTGGCTAATTTTTTGATTTTTTTTGTAGAGACAAGGAATCACTATGTTGCCCAGGCTGGTCTTGAATTCCTGGGCTCAAGCAATTCTCTGGCCTTGGCCTCCCAATGTGCTGGGATAGAGGCATGAGTTACCGCGCCTAGCCCTGATGTAACTTTTAGCAGGATCATTCTGACAGCTGGGTTGAGAAAAGACTAGATGAGCAGAAGTAGGGAGTCCTGTTGAGAAAGACCATGTTTCAGTGCGTACAGTAACTTGTCTATTTTCTTATGTAATTTTATCACCCATTTTTCTTTTAAAATGGAAATTGAAACTCAAATAGATTAGGAAAAAACTTACTTGTATTTAAGTATAGCTGACTTATTTCCTCTTTTTCAACACTTTTAGGATTACATGGAATGTTATATGTGTTTTTGTTAAATGGAATTATGTTTAAAAATTAATGAATAGACTGGGTACAGTAATCTCAGCATGCCTGTAATCACAGCACTCTGGGAGGCCAAGGGAAGAGGATTACTTGAGCCCAGGAGCTTGAGACCAGGTTGGACAACATATCAAGACCTTGTCTCTACAAAAATTAACTGGGTGTGTGGTACACACCTGTAGTCCTGGCTATTTGGTAGGCTGAGGTGGAAGGATCAACTGAGCCAAAGAGGTCAAGGCTGCGGAGAGCCGTGATTATGCCACTGTAGTCTAGGTAACAGAGTGAGACCCCGACTCAAATAAAGAAAGAAAGAAAGAAAGAAAGAAAGAAAGAAAGAAAGAAAGAAAGAAAGAATAAAAAAATATAATACAACTCACATATCAACATTTGATGGATAGATTTTGTAAGACATTGAGGATACTTGGGCAACTGGGGGCTTTGGGCTCCATGCCCATCTCCAGTAAGTGCCCATGCTTCATGGAAGTGAAGGGTCATGGCTGGGTTTTCTGGCACTTCCTAGGACTTCACGACCACATAATGTTACGACTCTGCCAGGAGTTCCCTTTTGATCAGCAACTTGAAGCTCTGTCTGGTGGCATTCAGTGGAAGGGCCAGCCACCCCTTTCTCTGGCAGTCACCATCTTTATTTTCCTTTCTCTACTGTTTATCTTTACTAGAGAGACATCTTCCCTCTCTTTGAGAATTCTTGGGACATACTAGAAAAATATTTGTTATCTATCTGACATTAAAACTGAACTGGGCATCTGTACCTTCATTTGCTAAATCTGGCGACACTTTCTACTGGGGAAGGGGAACAGGAAGGCTGGGGGAGTCCTGGGGCTCTTCACACAGCTCTCTCTAGCTGAGCTGAGTCTTGCAGTCTTGTTTCTTCTATTTTAAGAAGCACAGTTTGGCAATGCTCTCTAGCCACATTTCCTGATATAGGTTTTTAAAGCACGCTTCATGATTCAGGTGGGGAGCTCTTGCCAGCAGGAATCATATGGGGAAGGGTCCGCAAGTAGAGATGGGAAAAAATACTCTGGGGAGAAAGAGGCCGGAGCTAACAGGTGTTTTGTTTTGTTTTGCTTGTTTGGTTTTTTTTTTGCTTAAATAACATATTTATTTCTTGTGGTACAAGGGGCTGGAAAGTCTAAGAACAAGGTGCTGGCCAAATTGATGTCTAGTGAGGGCATTCTTGCTGGTTTGCAGGTGGCCAATTTTTCATTGTATCCTTACATGATGGGGAGGGAGGGGGAGAGGGAGAGGGAGAGCTAGAGCTAACAGTTTTAAGTGGTGGAATGGGAGGAGGAGGAAAAGGAAAGAAGCAACTATGAGCACCTACTGCATACATCCTTTCCTTTACTCTGCATGGCTATCTCCTTTTACACTCGAGGGCACTAAGGTTCAGGAAGGAGGAATAACTTGTTCCCAGGCACAGAGCTCCATTTGGGTGCTGGAGCTGGGATTCAACCCAGGATTTTCTGGTGCCAAAGCTCCTGTTCTTTCCTTTAAACCATGTAGAAGTAGTTAAAATGACAGCACAGAATGTAACAGCCGAGGCAGGAATCCCGGTCCCCAAGGAGAATACCTGGTGGGTGGACAGTTTACTAGGCACTGTCCCGAGACGGTGTGTGTGAAGAGCTAGGCCTGCTCACCTGAAGCGGACAGGATGCTGGGATGAGATGGCCTGGGAAGACCTTCAGGAACTGTGTTCTTCATAGAGATGTTGGAGGAAGGGAGCATGACAGAGGATAAATGGCAGGCCTAGAAAGCAAAACAGAGTCTTACCACAGACCTACCTCTCCCTTGTTTTGTTGCTAGGAAGAAAAGATGAGCTGGGGGTGGGGAAGGAGGGGAGGGAAAACTCTTCAGATCCCCGATGGAGATTAGCAAAGCTAACATTCTTGATATTTCATGCTGGAGTAATAAATTCTTATCCATGTTGTCTGCCTGTCTTTGGACTCCCATAACATCATTGGGCTTGATAAGGTGGTGTTGATATGCGTGTGGCCTTGGGACTGGTGATTAGGGATGCTTAAGTACTGTGTGTTCTCAGGGCTTGTTTGTAGTTAGTCATTTTTATTTCAGGTCATTTAGATAAGTTGTCATCTGTATCCAAGTTATTTTAGCCCTCAAAAATCAAAGTATTAGCTTTATTGTCTATGAAATGTGTGTGTATCTCAAAAACAAACTTCACCTATTTTTGAAAAAACAAATGTGTGTTGGGCATGAAGGCATTCCATGGGAATTAACTTTCCAGATACCTGGAGCTGACACCTTTGAATACAATCCTTTCTATATATCTTAAGCATTCTTGATGGAAACCATTCTAAGACATATTGTGTACTTTCCTTTTTTGAAAAAGAATGGAGGATAACAAATTTATCGAGACCTTTTTGTAATGACTGAGATTCATGTCTTAGGCTTAATGCCCATTATTACTCTGTTATAAGCTCTTCAATTATTCTGCCTTGTTTTCCACGGTCAGATGCTGTTTGCCACTGCCTCAAGTATAAAAGCCACACTGTACCCCACCTTTGCCACCAAGTTTGCTTCTAATCTCGAGGTTTGGGGAATTTTATTCCTGGTCAATAACTTAGATGGATTTGGCAAGTCACTTCTGCCCTTGGCCTCAGTTTCCCCAGCTGTAGGTGTGATGGTTGGACTAGATGATCTCTGAAAGTTTCTTCTTGGCTAAATGTCTAGAAGTGAGTGGACACTGGAGAGAACAGATCAGCTCCTTCCCTTGAGTTCTGAAGGGCTTTCGTCGCAGCTGCTTTCCAGAGGTGGTGCTATTTTGTGCTTTCCTGGCTATTTGGGGATGGAGGTAGGTGTTACCATGAAGACATACTCCACTTTTGTTCTTTGTCATATTGCGAAGTGAATTTTGGTAAAACAGATTACATTTTTCTATGCATGCATGATAATGAGAGGTTTGTTTCTTTACTCAGAATTCCAAATTAAATAAATTATATGAAATGAGGATATCATTAAAGCAATGGTATGGCGATGATAAATCTTCACAATTATTTAAAATATTTAAAAATTATACTGAATGTCCTATTATATAAAAATACTCTCAAATTCTATAAGTTTTACACAAAAGACATTTTTAGAAATGCTGGCTTTTGTTTGTTTGTTTGTTTGTTTTTGTCAGAGTTTCATTCTGTTGTCCAGGCTGAAGTGCAGTGGCACAAACATGGCTCACTGCAGCCTCAGCCTCCTGGGCTCAGGCAATCCTCCTGTATCAGCCTCCTGAGTTGATGGGACTACAGGTGTATGCCACTACTCACAGAAAGTTTTTGGTTTTTTTTGGTAGAGTCATGGTCGTACTATATTGCTCAGGCTGGTTTCAAACTCCTGGGCTCAAGCAATCTTCCTGCCTTGACCTCCCAAAGTGC